TTGCCTGGTCATCCTAAGAAATAGCAACCTATTAGTTAACGGTGTTACATCTAAAGATTGCCTATTTCGTGGTCCGGTCTTATACAAACTCATTGTATAGGATACCCCCACTCGCATGTCTCCACACGAACGACCTGGATCGAGTCGTCTGTAACCTTTACAGAGTGGGCCGTATCCATAGTGTTGCCAGGATAAGGTACCCAGCCTTATCCATATACTATAGACCCTTTAGGTTATTCACGTGACATTATCCATTCATATATCAGGGGTATATCAAATATATACCTCGATATCAACTATATACCCAGTATATATACTGTCCCGATTACATCATAAATAACCTTGGATGTTTAGTTTATTGGATTTTGGACAATGCAAAGCTATGATTCAACAACAAATTTATTGAATAAAACTTTATTAAATAGACACATTTGTTTTTACAAAATACAAACTACGAGTTTAGGGCAACACACCCAACATAAACTTGAAGGCTTTAACAAAGCTCTCATAGCAAAACGGTTGGCGGATCCTGATGCAGTCCAATCTCCTAGTCTCTCGTGTTCTTCAAGGAAGATACTTTCATGATGGGTCAATATTAAAGACATTAGAAAACAATCATAATTACTATCTTTGGAAAAAAAATTACTTTGGGGCAATGAGCTTCTTCTCAATGGGCTTCGAAGGAGAGGGGGAAATGGTAGATCAATTTGTTTCTCTAAATACAGATGGATATCCCCAAAGAAGATACTTTTCTGCCTATTACCCCATGCCGTGAGCTTGGAAATTGCTTGGTAGCTGATTTTATTACCTTTAACAAGGTATGGATCTAAATAAGCTGAGAATGTGCCTAAATAAATATGATTCAACACCATATCTCAAATCCCTGTCAAAAAATTAGAGATGGCATTTCGATAAAAGAGGGATGTACAACATCAAAAGTGGGTACAAGCTATATATGTTTGCCAAAAAGAACTCAGCATCTTCTAACCATAACTACAACAGAGATTGGTGGGATAACTATGGAGAATGAAAATATAAGCAAAAATCAAATTGTTCACATGGAGAGCCTATAATGAATGCATTCCAACTCAAAAGAATCTAATGAGGAAGGGAATGGTGGTGATACCTTTGTGCCCCCTCTGTTCAGATTCCGAAGAGAGGTTTGACCATGTTTTTTTGTTAGTGTAAGAGGGCTAGGAATCTTTGGAGGATGATTCTTCGTCAAGTTTCAATGCTGGAAAATTTCTAGAACAGTATCCAAGATCGATTTCTCTACCTCCATAACGTGCTGGCTGGAAAATAACTCAAAATTAAATGTGTCTTCTGCTGGTCCTTGTGGAATGACAGGAATCACTCGTAGAGATAAATACATAGAAAGATTGCATTTTGGGGTATATGGAAGAATTAAATAGAGGTGAAGAGAAAAGGGCAGAAAGTTACCCCATACCTCCACCCTTCAAATGGGTCTCTACTGCCAACTCGTGGACACCTCCCCCATCAGGGTGGATGAAGATCAACAGTGATGCTGCTTATCGAGCGGTAATGAATAGAATATACATCAAAATCATTTGTCATGATGAACACGGTATGGTCCATGTAGTTAGGATAAGGGGTGTTCCCACGACCTACTTGCCCCTTCAAGCTAAAATTGATGCAATCCTAAAAGGAATTCAACTAGCAAATTAGTTATCCATCCATTAATCTGTCGTTGTCTCAGATTCCTTAACGGCACTTTGAATGATCCGTGGGGAGATCAAGGATATCAGCGAAAATGAAACTCTGTTAAACGATACTAAAACCTTATCTTCCATGGGAAATTACTCCTTCGAGCATGATCCGAGGCAACAAAACTCTTTGGGTCGTAATTTGGCAGTTGAAACCATTTCATTCGACCTTACTCGTAGCTGGTTGTCTCATTTTTTCGGATTTGATTTTGCATGAAGCAAATAGGGAACTTATCTTGTATGTAGCCCGCGAGGCAATTCCTACCCATCATTAATTTAATAACATCTTCTTTCCAAGAAAAAAAAAAATATCTCCCTCCTCTCTTTCCTCGTTATTATTATTTTTAATTGAGTCCTCCAAATAAGTAAAGGGGCACTTACAATAATGCAAAAAAATTAAGTAAAATAATACATTTAGCATCCACATTTTTGTTTTTCAAAAAACAAAAGTCCAAATTAAAAAAGGTCAAATTTACCCTGGAAGTCAAACTTTAATAGCACTGATATATGTCTGATATATATTTGATATACCTCGAATTTATCATTGATATAAATCTGATAAGCCACTAATATACAACTGATATACTACTGATATAACTATGATATTTACCGATATAGTTTCTTATATGATTGTATGATTTACCATTTATTGATATACCATCTATATAACTATGATATCTACTGATATAACATCTTATATGATTATAGGATTTATTATTTATTGATTTACTACTGATATAGCAGTGATATGTGTCTGATATATACTTGATATACTTTTAATATACCAATGATGTATAATTGATTTACTTAAAAGTATATCAAGTATATATCAGACACATATTTCGATAATTTGTTAAAAAAAATTCACACGAATTTTAGACCATGTATGAATTCTAAAGGATCCAACCGATTTTTTTTCTTTTTTTTTTTTAGATAGTATTAATAGACAAAATAGTATTCAGAAAAATACAAAATATTTGACCAAATGTATTTATCAACAAATATTGAGACAAAGTTGGATTTAATTTTTTAATGAAGAAAACTATGTGATATATTCCAAGTCAAAACTAAAAACTACCTTCCTTGAATTTGTAGGTATTGAATTAAAATGTGTAACCTATTTTCTCATGAAGGACAATGATCCGAATAAAGAAGAAATTAAAACTTTAATAATTTATTTGATATATTTTTTTCGGAGCTTAAAAAGGAAAATAGATATTGAGTTGTGCTCAAATTGAAATATGATGAATTGTCGAGCATAGAGCACCGTGTATGTATGTATATATATATATATATATATACTTTCGTTATGAACTAAAATAAGATCAAATAAATATATGACAGGTCATAAAAAAAGTGTGAAGTGGGACTATGTAGGCTTTTGGAAAAAAATAATTGTATAACATTAATATAATTATTAATAAGAAAAATCTATACAACCGTTTAATATTTCGTAAAAGAATACAACTATTTAACATGTGAGAGTGAAAATATAAAATTAGGATCAACCGAGGAAGATATTATTTATGGGTGGGATGTTGAATTTCTCACTCTCTTATATTGTTATACTAAAAAAATGGAATTTGTAATATGTATATTGTTTGATACATGAGATTAGTAAGTTGTAATTTATATATGTTTGATAACAAATTTGTCTTTTTAATTTTATATTTGAAAGAGTTAAACTTATGGAAAAACTATTTATGCCTACGATTTTTAGTTTTTTTTTTTCACTTCTTAAAATTGCGTTTGATATTTTAGTTGAATATTCAAAACAAAACATAATTTGTATAGAATTTCAAAAACTTATTATTATTTATTTTTATAGTACATTAGAAAAAGATGTTAGCAAAATGATATTCTCTTTTCTTTTTAGTACAACATGTGGGGTGAGGGATCAAACTCAGTATATGTCAATTACCGCTGAGTTGTGCTCGTTTTGCAAAATGACATATTTTTTAGAACATTAAAAATATAAAAAAAAAACATTATGGGATTGTATATTCTTCAAAAATATATATATATATATATATATACATATACATATATATATATAAGTTTTTTATATTTATTTTTTAATTAACTGTGAGTGAGAATCAACTTTGATTTTAAGGAAGGCAACATCATCCGCATCTTTTATTTTTTTTTCATTTTAGTAAAAGATGTGCATGATGGAAATGCAAACTCATAGAATTTTGATAGAAGATAAGTACCTTAATCAGTTAATTTTTTAATCATAAATGTTTACATCATCATTATTTTAATATTTACTGGCTTGGTTTATATTTATGGTGCCAGTTATTGATTGAGTGCTAATCCTGTCATCAAATGACTAGAAATTTATTTACTTAAACTATAAATTTGTAAATAAATAAAAATACAAAAATTTGATCCATAATGCCTCTCATCTATTGAATGAAAAAAAATTAATTTGGTCAATTTAATGTAAATTAACTCATGATGTACATTCTATCTCATGAGAGATAAACAAATATGATATATTAATTGGGAATGATATTATTATTTATTATTATTTGAGTTCAATCATTGTCAGATAGGAATTCAAACCATCAATCACGGTAATGATAATAATTACCTTATCTACTCGAATTGTGCTCGAATCAGTGAAAATGATCTTATTTGAACCTCCAAAGAAACATAGGTCACCTCATTTTTCCACCTTCTATAAGTAAAAATTTAAATTTTGATTGGGCCGTAAGCTAAGTATGTTTAAACAGTTTTATAAAAGAAATAATAATTTTTAAATTTGTTTTGAGATTATAAATTTTAGGTTTAAATCATATTTTTACCGGTTAACTATCACAGTTATTTTATTTTGTTTTAATTTTAAACTTTCAAATGTTTTGTTTCAGTCTCCAATCCTACACATAAAGTTCTATTAATCCTTTTTTTTTTAGAAAATTTATTAACCCTTATGGTTGGCTTTCTATTAAATATTTAATCTATAACCTAAATTCATCCTAAAACTTAAAAACCTCATCTATATATTCCATGTTGATGCTAATTATTGAAAAAAAAAACGAGAAAGGTTGACATGGTTTTTATGCAAATTTTTATGCAAACTTTTAAATCAGTTTTTAAAAACTAAAATTTACTGAAAAAATATAAATATATATATTAGGTTCATTTTGATCTTTAAAAATTGATTATTCTGATGAGATTATTATTATTTTAAAATGTAAGTTAATTTAAATATGTTAAAAGTATATATTAATATACCAGAGAAATAAATTAAATGACAAAAGATATATTTTTTTTAATATCAGCCTATAAGAAAAATATTTCTTTAGAAAAAAAACATCCAATCAACTTTTTTGAAGCTAACAAAATAAATTTATTGTAAGAGCGGAATTATATAAACAGAGTATATCTAAATATAAAGCTTAAAATTTTAATTTAATTTTTATGGTTGAAGTTTAGATTCAGGATTCTACGAATTTCAATTTTGATATTTATGATTTAGTTACATTTAATAAGTTATTCTTATTGGGGCTCTCAAATTTAAATTTTTTTTAGTACAATACATGAAGATCATTTGTTAGTTGAAAATATATATAAATTATCGTTGAAGTGTGTTTGCTTCACAATTCTTCCCATTAAATGGAATCATATGAATATAAAATAAAATGCGTAGAATGGAAATCATAAAAAATTGATTTGAAATCATTGATCCAACGTGGCATTAGAGCCGCTTAATTTGATTCCACGTGGAAAGGTCCAATAAATACTCAGCAATTTGTCAAATTGCGCTCCTTTAAATTTGGAGTTTAGTGACATTCTAATAAAAGAGGCTCATCTTACAGCAGCCACCCCAACTTCAGACTTTACCAACCCTTTTTCTTTTCTTCCTTAGTTGGTCAAACCTTTTAATTATGCCTAAATAATTGCTCATATAGTTAAGGTTAATAATCGAAAACTAATATTAAAATGTTAATTATTCATTTCTATTATCCTATAATTTCCATAATATTCTTTTTTTTTCCTTTTTACATTTGTAGGTCTAGTCCAACTCGAGCGTCACGACTAATCACGGACCAACCACCTGACTCTAACTATATTTGGTTGACAAGAAAACTCGCAGGATATTAAATCCTAGGTAGATGGCCACCATGGTTTGAATACATCCATTCTAAGTTATTTGCTATTTACACATTCTATGATGGTTCTATTTTAATACTTTTTTTAGCTCAACACATGTCGAGAATGTTAAGAACAACAGTACCCTCGTACCTTCAAGTATCTCTACAATGATATAATATCGACTTTAATTTGTTTTTGATTTCACTCTCGTACCAATAGAGATCATCTATATACTGTTAATCACTTTCTTGTCTAGGCAAGGTAGGACTTTGTTTGCACGTTTTACGAGAATATGTCTTAATATGAAAGACTATAATTGGCCCTTTTTTTTGGCCCTTTTATTTTTACTATTACATCACCAATACGAAAATAAGGATTTGAGTAATATGCCACGTGTTAAACATAAAATATCCTGATAAATTTTATTTTATTTTATTTTATTTACTAAATATGAACAACAGTACAAATCATTTACCAAATCCCCATTCTTAAATTAGTGAATATAAATAAAGTGTTATTTTGGAAGAGATTTTGAGCTGATAAAATTTCAGTCAAACTTTTTTCTTTATGGTCTAAATATTCCACGTGATAATTAAAGAGATGCTTTGGCTTTGACTATTCAATTTACGCCAACAACCTTTCAATATATTCGCCCCCCAAACATTTATATATATTTAACACCATTTTCTCTCCTTTCTTCAAAACTCCTCTTCCCTCTCTCTCAGAAGATCATCGATCACCATGGGCAATTGCACGAGCAACAAATATTCTGCCGAGATATCGCCGATGAGCGATGAGGAGGAGGCGGTGGAGACGGTGAAGAGGAGGCTGATCCCCGACGATGATGGTCACGGAGCTCTAAGATCTTCTTCTCTGGCAAGGACGACGGAGGTAAAGATAAGAATCACAAAGAGAGAGTTGGAGAAGTTATTAAGAAAGGTGGACGTGGAGGAGCTCCCGGTAACGGAGCTGTTATCGCAGTTGATCGACGTCGGAGATGCGTTCGAGAGTACTCACCGGAGATCGTGGCGGCCTTCTCTGCAAACTATTCATGAGCTGAACTAAATAAAACACGTTACATAAACTTGTAAATATGGATGTATGGTTATTTGAACCACCAATGTCCTAGACCACTTAAATGAAGGTCTGGTCGACAATTGGGTAATTGATACCATGTATGTGCCAAAAATATTTCAACGAGAGTTGTAAATATAATTTATTACGAACACTTTCATTCTTCACTTTCTTTTTAATTAATTAATTGGAATCCTTGATGGATAACAAAAAAATTGCCATATATTTACACATACAACCTTTTGTTGCAGATGTGGAGATTTTTTAAATTAGATTTTGTCCCTATTTTGCACCTTATTTCAATTTTGTCCTTCTCACTGATATACAAAATATTATTTATATAAAGTATATCACTGGTATAATTGATATACCTATTGTTGATGTTGATTTTTAGGTGAGTGCCATGTAGGTGTCACGCACGTGCCACATACGTGTTCATCTCCAAGCTCTGGTTATCTTCATATAGAAATCTAATATGAGGTGGGTGCTCTATCGAATGTACTCTGATACTTAAGTTATAAATAAAATATGATGCAAATGGGTATGGAGTAGAAAAAGTGAGAAAACAATAATCTTGAGTAGGGGTATTCACAGATTTGATTGAGGGTATATTTTAACCCTGCCCGAAATTTCGGGTTGAGAATATAGCCAACCCGAACAACCCAAATTTATATTATAACCCAATCCAACATAATCCTCGTAAAGTTTGATTGGTTTAGGTTGGGTCATCGGGTTACACTGGATTAACAGAAGGCTGATGGTGTTGGTGTTGTTTGGCTAACGAGGGAGAGAGATTAATCAACTTGGAGATGGAGTGGCGACGAAAACTCGACGATGGTGGCGATGAGTCAGTAGAAGACTTGGAGAAGCTGACGATGAAGACTTGGAAATGGAAAGCTTGGTGACAGCGGTAGAAGCATGCTTTTGGTGGTAAAAAATGCTAATTTTTGAATTTTATATAATTTTGTGACAGTTAAAAACTGTCACGAAAACTRAAAATTTTTCTTTAATTCAATGACCATTATTATTATTATCTTTTTGTTTTGGATTTCATTACAATTAAAAAAAACATGATATATAGTCTTGTCATCGTTTTTATAAACCAAAAATACATTTTTTAACCATCACAACTTTATTTTACCATTTTGGGTTTATTTTACTTTTTTCAAGAATTCAATACTTCTAGTTACCTTCTGTTTGGTGTCAAGAATGTTTAAGAGATGATTTTAAATTCCATGATTTAAAGTCCGAGAAATGATCGAAAATTATTTATCTTGTTTGGAATGAAAATAATTAAATTTAGTTGTTTGTTGGCCAAGAAAATAAAAAAAATTATTGGTTTAGGCTTTTAATCTAAATTGAATTAAAATATGACCTTGTTATAAGTAATTTACTTGGAAATTCATTGAATTTATGCCAATTCTGCATTTTGATTTTGAAAATCTTTTATTTGTTGAATTTAAATTTTGTCTTTTCTTAGCTTAATAAGTTTGACTTTTACGAAATTTCCATAATTTATAACAATTTTTACTGGTCACGAAAGATCAATTTTTTTTCCTTCTTAAATTTGCAGATCATTTATAATGTCTTTTAACTGTTGCTAAAAGTTATAATTATTTAAGGTACCATTAAAGATCATAATTATTTTTATCCTATCTCCATGTAGTAGTAGTTCAAACTCTGCATTTACTACAATCAATGATGAACATATATTACAGTCAAATAACATACCAAACCACGAACACCTTAGTTAGATGAATTAATTTTGGAGTTCTAAGAATTCAATACTTTCAAAATCCAATTGAATTTCAAATTTTGAATTTATTTATGAACTCAATTATTTAGATTTGATGAATTTTAATTGATTTGGTTTGATTTTTTATTTCTTCATTTTCCCTCCAAAGTATCTTTCATATCTTCTAGGCACCAAAAGTCTCGCTCACTTTGACTAAATTATTTAAAATGGCCATCAAATTTGAGGTTAGATTCACTTATTTTGTTGTAGTTTAAATTTTCACTTAATACTCTTGAGGTTTAGATTCAAGTATTTTGTTGTTTCACTTAATATTTATAATTAATTCAAAGAGTTTTCATCYATTTATAAGTCCATCATATCTCTGGTGAGATTATGTTGTTTTTGTGATCTGAAACTTGAAAGGAAAAAAAAAAAGGTCAAATTAATATTTATAATTAAAAAAAATAATTTAGACCCAAAATTATAATTTTTCTACTAGTGCCCTCAAAGTTTCTACTGTTCACAACTGTCATGGAAGATCACTTTTCTACTAGTGCCCTCAAAGTTACAATTTCAATTTCCCCGAATTACTTCTCCCTTCCCCTCCTAATATATATATATATATATCTCTCTCTACCTCCATCGTAAAACCGTTGAGTTGAAACCATCGCCGGCCTGAAGCACGGTCACCGGGCTTCCGATGCTCCTCACGGGACTCCTTTTCTTCGGTTTTCTCTGTCTGAATTTTGGGTAAAATTTCTTCCCCTATTTCTTGATTTTTCTGAACTTTCGGTTTCAGTCCACGACCCCCCGCCCCGCGGCTCTCTATCTCTTTTTGTGACCATCTCCACCAGCGACGGCCATATGCAGCGGCAAAATCTTTAGATGTTCCGTGACATTGTTAAAGTGTTGTTATACATACTTTCATGATGTTTATTAAATGTAATTGAAATAGTTGTCGTGACAATTATAAACTGTTTTTCAAGAACTTGACAACAAAATCTTTTATTCATTTAGCGACCATTATAAACTATCATCAAATGAGTTATTTGTGACATTTTTAAATTGTGGTAGATAATCAATTCGTGATAAAGTATAACAGTCATTGTAAATGCATTAATGACAGTCCATTTCTATCATGCCTTTAACCGTCATGAATTAAGTTAATGACAGTTTTTAACTATCATGGCAGGTCAATGTTTACACCTAAATATTAATTATTTTTTGACATTCAAAATTGGTTATTTGGAATGTTACATTATAAATCCCTTATTTTAAAGCCTAATTAGACTTTTCAAAAATAAAAATTACCAAATCCCCAAAATACTACCCGAATCCCCATTATTGCAAATTTTCAAAAAATTCCTCCTCCTTCCCCCGTTTCTTCTTCCTGTCTCGTTTGCCCTCCTTCCACAAACACCATTGTTTCCATCCGTTTGAGCTTCTTCTTCGTCGCTGGAGCAAACCATTATAGCTTCTTCTTCGTCACCGGCTGCCCGTCGATCGTTTGAGCACTCCATTTATCCTGAGGTTTGTTTAGTTGTCGATCTGAAGGCCATAGAAAATCCATTGTAAATCAGTGTGACACCAAATCTGTTCATTTATTACGGGTGGTCAATGGATCTTGAACGCTGTCGTTTGCACAGGCCATTATTATCATACTGTAAGCTCGATGAAGAAATAAACTTAGTTCTGCTTTTTCTTAGTCCATATTCTGAAAGATTCAGATATGATTTGAGTGGTACAAAATTTAGGTGTGAATTCTTCTATATATTTGGATATAATATATATCTAAAACTAAGTACCATTTTGGTAGTTATAGGGACTCAATAGTCGGATATATTTTATATTTATCATATAGGTTTATCTAGGTTAATGTTAATAAGAGCAATTCATAATAATGAAGCATGTGCTAGAGTGTCTAAATTGATAGAATAGGTTAATGTTATATACGGATATAATATATATCTACACTATATAAGTTTATATGAGATTAAGACTTCAATGGTTAAAAATTATATTCGGATATATTTTATATCTATTATTAAATACCAAATTGCAAAGACATGCTGTTGAAAACTTTTGATGTTATACTTCCTAATATCATTAAATTGTTGGTACATCGTGGGTATATTTTTCAACTAATTTGAATTTGAAATCATGGATAAATCTACACATTAATTATTTTAGAAATTGAAATCATGATAATCTTTTTGTAATTAATATACGCTATCCATGTACTAATCTCTAAGGAAAAAATTGGTATGGGTCCACAATAATTAAACGATTATGTCTACAATTTAGGGATTTAAATCTTTTAGATTTCAACAAAAAAATTTAATAATAATAAATAAAAAAGGGTAAATCGGTATTATAAAAAAATCGTACATGCAGAAATCTAAAAGGGTAAAATTGGAAAACTCTACACATTTGAGAAAATAAGTTTTTGAAACAGGCCCCAAAGACATTAACTTTATATTATATATGTAAAATTAACAAATTTAATTGGGTTGTTCGATTTTTTATGGTTACCAGGTTATTTGAATACCCCTAATATTGAGGGTGAGAGTCTGCTTGAGAGTGTGTATCGAATCCTTACAAGGAGTTGTGTTGGGAAAATGTAGCTTACCTTCGTTAAGATTTCTCTTTTCCTTATATAGAGAAAAAGTCATGGCTTTACTATGATCAAGGGTTTGAGTTGGAGGATGCCTCGGTGAATCAAGGAAAAAACAGTCGGAGCCTTTTCTTCCTAATACAAGGTCGAGAGTTTTGTGAGCCTGTATTCCACCTAAAGGTGGAGAACCAGAATCTAGAAGAATGCGTGGCAGAGCATCGACGATTGTTAGGCCCAAGGGTTCCTAGCAGCAGCACTCCTACTTGTTGAATACTTGTTAGATGGCGTTTCTTCCTCAGTGATGCCTTCTAATGGTGGGCGCCACAGGCATCAGGGRTTTTGTTTCTTCTCCTTTTCCTTAGAAGATCGAACGGCGGGATCCCCCCTTTTTTCCTTTTCCTGCACGAACAGCCCCCTTGCGCAGGAGAGATGCATGACTTTCTCTATCCCTTCCTTTCGTATCTAGTTTTCTAGTCAGGCTTGCGCCTTAATTAGGTCATCCATGTACACGAACGGGATTTTGAAGTTGTATGCTTTAACTTAATGAAAAGTCCTATTCTTTGCTTCCTTGTTTTCCCAACATTCCCCCATTTTTGTATATATTGCGAACTATTTGGACTCTACTTGAATTTTGGTCGAATAGTCTTTATCGTCGCGATCTCATGTTTGCGACGTACAAATTGGGGGTTAGCCGCATCTATTTGTGTCGTATGGTGTCAAACAAGTTTTGGTCATTTCAAGTATCTCGCGCCTGT